TCCCAGTGCCATCCCATTGGCACCATCCCATCCCAGTGCCATCCCATCCCAGTGCCATCCCATTGGCACCATCCCATCCCATCAGCACAATCCCATCCCAGTGCCATCCCATCCCAGTGCCATCCCATCAGCACCATCCCATTCCAGCGCCATCCCACTGGCACCATCCCATCCCAGGACCATCCCCCATCCCATCCCATCCCATCCCAGCACCATCCCATTGGCACCATCCCATCCCAGTGCCATCCCATCCCAGTCCTATCCCACCCTGGAACCGTCCCATTGGCACCATCCCATGAGGACCATCCCATCCCGGCACCATCCCACTGGCACCATCCCACTGGTCCCATCCCAGTGCCATCCCACCAGCACCAACCCATCTCCAGCACCATCCCACTGGAACCAAACCATCCTGTCCCATCCCATCCCATCCCCACCCCACAGTCCCCATCCCCCCGTGCCCCCCCATCCTCCCGGGGTGTCCCACTCACAGGCCACGCTCAGGGTGACAGCGGGGGACACGCTGGTCCCCGTGGGGCCGCGGGCCCGGCAGTGGTAGGAGCCGGTGGCAGCGCTGGTGACACGGGGCAGCTCCAGGACGCTGTCGGGGCTCTCCTGGAGCCGCTCACTGTCCCTGTACCAGGTGTAGATGGTGTCACCCGGCGGCTCTCCAGGCACCTGGCACGTCAGGGACACGTTGTCTCCTTCCAGCACCTCCGAGGACGGTGACACCAGGACACGGGCGGCTGGGGCAGGGACAAGCACCGGGGCCAGCTCAGAGGGACCGGGGCAGAGCTGGCACTGCCGCTGTCCCCTCGTCCCCTCCCGGTGTCCCCTCATCACTCCCATGACCCCCTGTGGGGTGGGACACTCCTGTCCCCTCATCACTCCCATGACCCCCTGTGGGGTGGGACGCTCCTGCTCTGTCCCGGGAGCTGGCACAGCCCTGGGGTGGCACTGGGGCTCCCTGTCCCGCTCTGTGTGTCCCCAGTCACTGTGGCTGAGGGGTTGGAACACGGGGAGGGGACAAGTCAGGACCTCCGGAGCAGCAGCCAGAGCCTGGTTGGGATCTGATGACATCGGGTGGGATCTGGTGGTGCTGGGTGGGATCTGATAGCTCTGGGTGGGATCTGGTGGCACTGGGTGGGATCTGGTGGCCTTGGGTGGAATCTGGTGGTACTGTGTGGAATCTGGTGACACTGGGTGGGATCTGGTGGCTGTGTGTGGGATCTGATGGCAGTGAGTGGGATCTGGGGGCACTGGATGGAATCTGGGAGCACTGAGTGGGATCTGGTGGTGCTGGGTGGAATCTGGTGGCACTGGGTGGGATCTGGTGGTGCTGGATGGGATCTGATGGTGTTGGGTGGGATCTGATGGTGCTGGGTGGAATCTGGTGGTTCTGGGTGGGATCTAATGGCAGTGAGTGGGATTTGGTGGCACTGGGTGGGATCTGGGGGCACTGTGTGGGATCTGGGGACACTGGGTGGGATTTAGGGGCACTGTGTGGGATCTGGTGGCAGTGAGTGGGATCTGATGGCACTGGGTGGGATCTGGTGGCACCGGGTGGGATCTGATGGTTCTGGGTGGGATCTGGTGGCACCGGGTGGGATCTGATAGCTCTGGGTGGGATCTGGTGGCACTAGGTGGGATCTGGTGGCACTGGGTGGGATCTGGTGGCACTGGGTGGGA